ACAGAGAGAGAGAGAGCGAGAGAGAGAGAGAGAGAGAGAGAGAGAGAGAGAGAGAGAGAGAGAGAGAGAGAGAGAGAGAGAGGGAGGGGCACAGAGAGAGAGAGGAAGTGTCTTGAGAAAGGAAGAACACAAAGACGCAGATGCACCTTCTGACATGCGTCCTTCATTGATCATATGGAGGAAAAATATGTTGAACGAAATAACACATCGAACACAACACTCTAGGCGCAGATAAACTCCTGTCGAATGCCAAAGTCGTGTGTGCATACTACGCAGTACAGAGAGGTGACAATGAGGTTGTGACAGTTCAGAGAGGTATGTCAGCAGCGAGCCGCGTTTCACTGCTCACATACCTCTCCAAACTCTCCGAACCTCTTCGTCAGAGAGGTGACCAAGAGGTTCTGACAGTTCGGATACGACCATTGCGCCAATGGGCCCACGTCAGTTTTGGAACTTTTGGTACACCCATGAACTGTTGAAATGCAGACCCGAGTTCGAATTCCAATGAAATCGGACGAGTACAACAATTCTTGAATATACCTGGGGATGGTCAGTTTAAACTTTAAAGATGATATATGTAATGAGAACACTGCTGATTTCTGAAGTTCTGCCGATGGAATGGATGCCTTGTTGAGATTCCCGCATTCTGCTGTGTTTCTAAGTCTGTCTGTGTGTGCGTGCTTGTGACCTGCATGCCTGCCTGAGTGCTTGTTGGTACGAGTGTGTGTGGGACCCGCAAGGGTACTTGCTTGTTTGGTAGGCCCGTAGGGCCGGTACTTACCTGTGGCCGTGGCATTGAGGGTTGTACCAGGGAAAACACTCAAGTGGCGAAGCTAGCGGCCCTGAGGGCCTTGGGATAGCGGAAAAACACTCAAGTAGGCCGGTAGGCCGATACTTGTTACATCTTCGACTCACACGGGTCCTACCGGACCCGACTTAGGGCCGGAGGGACACACCAGGGCCTAAAGGCCCGACCTTTAGGGTTTACAGGCCCTAAAGGCCTGATTTTGGACTATCACCCATCGGGTAGGCCCAAACGACACTTCCTTTGGGCCTGGCGGCGCTCTTGAAGCTGCCGCCCGCCGATTGAGGCTGAACCGTCCATCTGGACGGTTCAGGGTCTGGCCTGGCCTCGCAGCATTGAGGCCAGACCATTGCCCACCGGTATAAGTACCGGTATCCGCCTCAGTAGTGGGATCGGCCTACCGGAACTCTACCGGCACGGCATGGTCAGTGCTAGTGCACTGTTTGATGCGCTAAACTTAGCGCAGGGGCTGAAGCAGGAGCGCAGCAGCGAGCGGAGCAGCAGCGGGCGACTGAGCTTGCATGGCGGTTATTACCGCCTGAGGCTGTCTCTTATACACATCTAGATGTGTATAAGAGACAGAGACTGTGGTACTTACCTGATTGGAGACTTGGAGATTGTTGAGGTTGATACTCGGCTGCATCACAGTTGGACACCGGTTACATCTGGACTCTGTTATCTCCGACATTGGTGACCTTTGGTCCTCGACATTTTGATCTTGTTATATGACATTCTGGACTACCATTTCGGAGACCTATCAGACTCTATCTTTGTGACCTATCGGTGTGATCTACCTCCCACCTCCTTCGTCTCTCCTCCCACCTTTCATCTGTGTATGTGTGTACGGGATCTGGGTATCGTCTATGAATGACCCAGACCCCACCATCTCATGATTGTATGTGTGTGGAGTGATGCCATGTAAGTCAGTTGGTGTGAGTCGGTCTATGTGAGTCAGTTCGTTATCAGACTTCCGCTGCATAAATGCTCATCCTATATTGGTTGATCTTTGGTTCTGCCCATACTCATTGAAGTATGTAACATACTGCACCCCACTGCAGTTGGCGTGAGGGGGTACTGGAGGCCGAGCAGAAAAAGACAAAGTTGGCATTTTTAGAGTCCAGTAGCAGTAGGGTAGGTCTAGGCCGGTACCAGTCCAACCAGTCTGAGTCTAGAGCCTGTACGGGTAATATCAGGGTCTGCAATGATGTTTCCCTCCGAAACGGAGGAGGTACCGGTTGCTTGGGAGGCCGAGCGGCCTGGAAGTCACAGCCCAAAAGGCAAGCAGGCCGCTATATCTAGAGGCGGAGGCAAGAGCTCCGCCTCATTCTTCAGTGTGCGAGTTGGGCGTCACGCTGCTGGAGCACTAGGTGGAGGAGCGCTGGGCTCTACAGCACTGCTGGGAGGAAGAAGCCGGGAGCTTCCACCTTGGCTATGGTGGAGCTCAGCCGGTAGGAGGAGGAGGAAGAAGGGGACCAAGGAGGAGAGTGGTAGGGTACTTACCTGGCTATGGTAGACACCATCTTCATCTCCTTGCTAGGCGCTGCATCAGGAAGGCCCCAGTGGGGGGAGTGCCGCATCAAGGAAGCTCGGACAGAGTCAGGCATGGCGGTTGAGTGGGYAGCGGTATAGCTGCTGKGTGATRACCTTGAAGRAAGGCAGCGGTGTAGCTGCTTGGGGTTGTCCTTTGTACCGGAGGTTGAAACCTCAGTAGTCCGCCATAGCCTCGGCCTGTATGTGGAGGAAGRAGAAGGGCTGCCATGGCTATGGTGGACCTCATCTTGTGCCTGCAGTAGAAGTGGGATTCGGACATTGATTCTGGTTCAGCTGTTCAACATTATTATTGTTTATTTATTGTTTGAATAAGAGAGGAGGAGATAAAGAGGAGGAGGTTGTTGAGCGAAGAAGAAGAGCTTTGTCTTTGGTCTATGCTGGAGTACATCATCTCTTTCTTCTTTCTTAATTCTTCTTCTTCTTCTTTCCCTCTCTCTTCTCTCAAGTTCTTTCATTTCTTTTCGCAATTGGACAACATTGTTGATGATTGTGGACTTCAAAATTGGCCAGGATCGTAACATATATCAACTTCTCAAGGCCGTTGCCCTTTTAAAAAAGGAGTACATAAAGAGGAATAGGACCATTTTTTTCTTGTACAAGCAGTTCACATTTAGCAGAGGGAGGGCAACGTCCGTCAAGCTGACATGCAAGAGGCACAGAGACAACACGTCAATTTGGCCGGATTGCTGTGTTCACATTGAGCGCAGCAAAACAACCCCCAACAAACCCCAAAACAACCCCAAAACAACCCCAAAACAACCCCCCAAACAACCCCCCAAACAATCCCCAACAACTCCAAACAGCATTGAGCGAAAGACTTCCTTTTGACTCTCACCGTAAAGCTGATATACATCCTATATGAACCACAGATGCAATCACATCCTCTCTTTTTTTTTTGTTCTGTTTGTTTCTCTTTCCGACCCTGTCTCATCCTTCTGTGTTTGTGAGTGAATCTTTCCACAGTGCCATCAATTACTTCAGGACTGACATACCAGGCTGTGATCACAGTATCGAAAAAAGAAACAAAAGCGGGAAGAAAAAAGTTCAAAAAACAGCACTGAGACGCAGCTGAGGCAAGATTTTCCTTCGACAATCCAGTAGGCAAACAGAGCAAAGAGAAAAAGAGAGGAGAATAAAACAGAAAAAGGAAAAAGGTAGTAAAAAGGTGGATAGACAACCCTCTCACCCTAATAGCACCGAAGGCGCTGAATACTGCCTTCACATCTTCCTCACTTATTTCATAGAATATCGAGCCGACATATATCCTGCCAGGACAGAGATGCACGCAAAGGGGTCACAAACAGACAGAAGAGAAAATGTCAAGTCGATTCCCCACATCGTTCGCTCAATTCCCCACCGCCCCTGGAAGGTGTGGGTTCGATTCCCTACGTCGTCCGTCCTATTCCCCGCAGCCCCTGGGGCTGACTTCAGCTTCACCAGCTGAGATAGTTGGCTTGCCCTCCCTGGCTGATCTCGGTAGCGGCCCTTCCCTTCACCAGGGATTAGGCTGAGACAGAGAAAGGAAGGAAAAACTGGTAGACCAACTAATCCAAAATACTCCTGCTAGGCATTCTGAGGTATATTCAGAGAAGAGTATAGCTTACTTTTTAGAAAGGAAAAAGAGAAAAATCTCAAGTTGATTTTACCCTTGTTGCTATTACCTGTTGGTGCACAAACAGTATGGTAGGCTTCATCCCTCTTGCTATTGACTGTTGCTATTACCTGTTGCTATTAACTATTGACTATTAACTAATGCCATTAACTGTTGGCTATTCACTGTTGCTATTACCTATTGGTTGCCATACCTACGCGATGCTGCATGTGATGCAAATCACTATGATCACAGTATGATGTGATCATATGCAAATATTCTTTTTCTTCAAGGAATAGTTCATTACTCTTCAAAGAATAGTTCATTACCATCGGAATCGTTCTTACCATCAGTATTACTGAGAGTCATCTACTGTCGGGAACTATCGCTAAAAGTTCATTCTTATAGAGACCTATTACTTCTCTCCACGCTGTTGGTACCGTATGCAATTGTCATTGCATCGACCATCGGTGATGTATAAGGGCGCTGCCGCTCACTACAGCTGCATGCAGGTAAAAGGGAGGGAAGGGGGAGGCGTATGGAGTGCAGAGGAGACGGGTGTCAGACAGAAGGGGGAGGGGGAGGGAAGAAGGGGAGAGGGGTGTCAGAGAGAAGGGGGCGGGATAGGGGGAGGATTAGACGGGTGTCAGAGAGCAAGGGGAGGGCTAGAGGAAGATGAGGAGAAGTGTGTGACAGGCACGGAAGGAGGAGGAGATGGGGGGTAAGGGGAAGTAAACGAGATGGGTGTCAGAGGGAAGGGGGAGGGGGAGGGAAGAAGAGGAGAGGGGTGTCAGAGGGAAGGGCAACGGATAGGGGGAAGATAGGAGAACGTTGTCCAAGGGAACCGGGAGGACTAGGGGGAGTGGAGGAGAACGGTGTTACAGCGAATGGGGATGGGTAGGCGGAGGAGAGGAGAAGGGTGTCAGAGGGAAAGGGGAGGGGGAGAGACAGCAGAGGAGAAAGGTGAGGGGTAGGGGCAGCATAGGAAACGGGTGTCAGCAAGGTTGTACAGAAGCTTCGAGAACTCAGTGTGATTAGACCCAGTGGGATGGCACTAGGCCCCTAACGCTCGTAAGTAGGCATCTGTGCCCTTCCTTGCCTATTTGAGCTGATGCATATTGGCCCCTTGTCGGCTGGACCATCTCCTATCGGGATCGTTACCTAGTGCATATTCCCCTGCTGTCACCACCAGTTGCCATCCTCCATTCCATCTTGCTAATAGCACAAGAACAATCAATCGGCACAAAGACGTTCCCATCAATCGCCGCGAACACGTCCAATCAATCGCCGTGAACACATGCAATCAATCACCGCGAACACATGCAATCAATCGCTGCCAACACGTAACCCATCGCCACGAACACATGCAACCAATCGCTGCGAACACGTAACCAATCGCCATGAACACATGCAATCAATCGCCGCAAACACATCCAATCGATCGCCGTGAACACATGCAATCAATCACTCCGAACACATGCACTCGATTGCTGCGAACACATAACCAATCGCCACGAACGCATGCAATCAATCGCTGCGAACACGTAACCAATCGCCGCGAACACATGCAATCAATCGCCGTGAACATGCAATCAATCGCCGCGAAAATGCAATCAATCGCCGCAAACGTATGCAATCAATCGCTGCGAACACGTAACCAATCGCCGCGAACACATGCAATCA